GTAAAAAAAGAAAAAAAGAAAAACTACTTATTTACCAACTTGCTTGATTATGTATCATACTTTAAACTTTTGGATATTTATATGAGTTCATTCTTTAAAAAACTCAAATTTTAAACCCTCTTGCACATGTGAATATTGAATGGGTGGTACTATTTACCGTCCCCCATTTTATTATTCATCGCCCTCCTTGGACGATTTTGCCCTTCATTTTTTCTAAACATCTCAGTGAAAAGTGTATGGTGAAATGTCGTAAAATACGGAGGTACGAAAATTTTTGTGTCCGGCCGCCGGAACCGGACGGCTTTTACCCCGTCCGGCCGCCGGAACTGGACGGATTTTAAGTCGTCCGGCCGGCCGGTTCGGACGGGTTATGTAACACCCCACTTTGATTTAAGAAATAATCAATGGCTTATTCAAAAATCAAGTTTACATTTTCGAAATTCATTTTTCATAATCCATAACATTAGGGCATTATCTTGATTTCAATTCATATTTGAAACCTCACGGGTATACATTACCCGATTTTTCACATGGACTTCATTGTCCTAAAATCAGCAGTTCATATGATATCCAAATGACACATTCAATATGAATACCCAAACATAGTTCCATGAAAAGAACAAAATCATATGTTCAAACCAACATAATTTCAACGACATAGTCTGAAATGAAATAACACGTTCATAACCCAACATTTCCAAATTCATCAGTCGGGTTAACTTATTCGAAATAAAGCGAAAGCAAATAATGTAAATATGACCATCCACTCTCCATCCTGCCGTCGTGCCCGCCTTGCTTAACCTGAAACGTGAATTTCAGGTGGGGATGAGCACAGTTGGAAAAAAGTAGTGCTCACCGCTATGCAATAAATAATGTATTAAGACAGATAAGTATGGTCCCAGCATGAACACGAATCATTCAAATATCACATCTCCTAATCATAACCTTTTACTCATGTGCACATCTATCATTAGCCATTGAAGGTCGAAACCGCACACAACAATGGGAGTAAATACCGAAGGGTGTACAACTCCCCTCGGCCTTGCCTATCATTAGGCTGGGGAGACTGCCTATCATTAGGCACCGTCAAAGGTCGAAACCGCACACGACGACGGGGATAACCGTTCGAAGGTCCAAACCGCACACATCGAAGGTTACAGGTTCACATGCATACATTGATCATACCATTCGACTTTCATAAAGAATTTAATGCATAGAAAATTTTGAATAACCCACCTGGTCGCGAAAAGGAGACAATCACGAAAGCCCGAATAGGTTGCGAGCTCGGCTCGTCAAACACCTACATTAAGTCCAGATGCTATAATCAACATCTATTCTGGCTTAGACGGAAAATCACAATCATACTTAGTCGAACTTGATTCAACTAAGTTGTTCGTGAAGTCCTGTGGACGTTGGAACACTTAGACTTGACATCTAGACTCAACCAATTACACATGGGAGTTCACATAAATTCATCTAAGGATTGACCAAGTCAAACACTTAATGAAACAAAGGACGAGTCGGTTTACAGTTTTTATTCTAAAAACCACATTTACGATTATACTAGTTTACATCACAAAAATGAGTTGACCAGGTTGCCATATGAATTTAGCTCTCAAATTTTAACCAAAATTTCACCTCCAAATTAAGCAAAACAACAAATTTTCAACTTCAAAACCCAAGTACACTATTTTATAAAATTCCCACAAGATATCAGCAAAACCGAGCCATGAATTTATACTCAAACTTAATGAAGGATTCGGGACTTAATAATTTTACTCAATATACTACAGCATGATATAAACAACATATAAAAATCTCAGCCCTTAACATTAACTGCTGCTATTTTTAAAAATTCAAACGAGATTCAGCAGTTTATCAAATTTAAATCAGAATCGAATCAAAATAAACTCCAAAATTTTTTATAACAGCATGAATAGGTACAAAAAATAAGCATCTCAGTAAAGTTTCAATATTTTCCAGCAAGAATTCAATTTACTAAAATTAAATTATGAAGCTGCAGAATAAAAAAAATAATTGTTAATTATAGCAAACGAAGTCAAAAAATTCCAAACCTTTTACACGACCTAGAAAACACACAGGGAGATAACATATTCAAATTTCATAATTTTTGAGGCACAACGAAATTTAATATGCATTTTACAAGATTCTGCTCAGATTTCCAAACAATTATTAAAAATAACTAAACTTATTATTTAAATCTGATATTTTTACACAACATGTATTTCCAGCAGAGGGTCGAGCTCATAAAAGTTTACATTGATACGAGCATCACAGAATTTATCATAATTTATATATCAAAACAGCAATTAAACAATTTCAACAATTCATAACCGACTCGTTCTACGACGAATCCGTCCGAAGTCTTCGCTATAAGACTATGGACGATACAAGTTCCAACCCACAGTGACCAATTCACGAGTTGACGAGGTCTCGTTCGATTTCACCGAATCGAAGAGTTCGTCTACACATTCAACATATTTATCCAAACCAACTTCAACACACATTCTACATAAATAACCTTATGAACAAAATCACATAGGCATTATTCACATGATTTCAATAATCACTTTTAACAATCAAGAACACAACATAAACGAGACGCAAAATTAAACGAGATGGGTCGAGCCTTGTACCGTTCTCGGAAATCGAACAAAAACGGAACGAGGGGTCGACGGGAAGCACGGGCTCGTTTGCGTGCGGCCTTCTCGTGGTGTGAACGGCTCGTCTGCTGCACGTAGGCTCGCCGGCAGAATGTGCACGTCGCTGTCGGCTCGAGGCGAGGTGCTGTAGATGTTCGACGGAGGTGCAGCATCGGAGGAGGGCTCGTCGTCAGGTTACAGGGGCTCGCCGGGCTTGGATGCTCCGACGTGGAG